CTTCAATTGCATTGCGAGGTCTGGATTGAGCTGCTTCAGTAGAGCCTCTCAACATTTGGTCCGCTGGCCCAGAAAAATGGAGATTTAGCATGAAAACTTTGGAAAGTGGTGCAACTACGAAACTAGTAAGCACTGGTAAATCATTTTATGACTCTCACCTGATGCGCTAATCTTCCTAATTATGGTTCTAGCAAAGCGGATTTCCTCTTGGTGCGAGCTGATGAGCTTGACCTGCACATGTGAAAAATCCCAACATATTATTACTTCCTGTGTCTCAAATCATCTGTCACCGTAACACAAGAACTAAAGTAACAATGTAAATTTGATCGAAAGCAACAACGCTCTATATGTCATTTTTTGTCCATTTAAGAGGGCCACATACCATTCCATCATACGCGAAGCCTGTAAGTTGATCAATTCTAGCTTGGTGCCTCAGTAAGAAGGGGCGTAGATGGCTCCTATACAATTGCTTAGCTCCCTGATAAAATAGAATTTCATTTCATAGATCAAATAATGTCACTATCCATGACGCTGCAGATTCGAGAAATAGAGTTGAATGAGGGACATACAACCACAAGAATTTATTTTGTTAACAGTTTAGAGCTGCTGCTATATGAGACCTCCAGCTTTTTATTCAAACATTTTTAGAATAAACAAAATTGTATAAAGTTTTTATTTTTACAAAGATATAATATATAGCTGAACTTTATTTAACATAGATTAATATCTTCAACAAATTTCCTTTCCTGGTTCTACAATACAAAGAGAAACTATAAGCACAACCTAGACTCACCTCAGTAGCTGGCAGTTGAAGCCAAACAAGAAATGCAAACTTGAAGTGGTAATACAGTGGAAACCTGTATCATGAACAAGACAAATTCAAAGGATTACAAGCAGCCAAGTTTGGGTACCCTAAAAAATGCATCTAAGTATGAGCATTATGACTAGTACTTTTATCTTTGAAAGCAAAACCGTCATCTAGCTTCAATATCTTATTCAAGATGGCAATATTAATTAACTGTGATGAAAATGATGATTTCTTTGACAATCTGTAAACACAATACCACTAATATCTCCAATTCTTGGGTTGGCCAAACATCAACTCATTAGCAAGACATAAACAATCATTTTTAATCAAGACTTATTTAAAATGAAAGGACAAGAAAAGTAGATCAATAGAATGGATTTACGAAAGAATCTGTCTAGAGATACATATGACAGCAAGATTAAATTTGAGAGGCATGGTAAACAAGTGCACATTGTTAACCATAAGTAACCACCATGTTAAGAAAGAATATATCCTCTGAAGGTGATCTCAAATCAAAGACTAGGATTAAAAATCATACCACGAAAGCAGCTTGTCAGAGAATGTCTCAACAAGAGTGAAAGTTCCATAAGCTGCATACAACAGGAAGACAGCCATTGTATTTCCAGAAATCATTCAAATAATTGATGAAACACGTACATGAATCATCCAGTTCTTAAGATAGGCAATCAATTCTTATAATTACATCAAATAGCATAGAAAAACTAACAAAATACAGAATCACCTACCTGCCCAATATATAAGCCACTTTTGCTGCTGATTTTGGTCGTTCCTTTCAATTGCCCTGTATGTAGAGTATACAGGAAAAGCAATCCCCACTGAACAGCTGTAGAACCCAAAAGGGAAAAAAAAAAAAAAAAATTGGTTAATAACAACACAGAATAACAGTTTTCATTATGCAGAGCTAATAATAATAATTAAAGGAAATGGTTTTCCAAAATAAAAGTATAGAAAATGGCTTCCAGAAAATGAATAATAATTTCAAAATTTGAGACTCAAATACCCCAATAAGAACTATTAATCTTTATCGATATATACCCCAACAAGAATTAACAAAGTATTAATCTTGAATGGCATATATGATAAACGAGAATATCAAGAAAACTACCATAAAAGCAAGCATTATATTCAGTCCCAATCCAAAAACTCACCATGCTGTGCGAACAACAATGTTGGAACCGAGTGGGCAAAGTAGCAATCGTAATCCAACCTGCAGCAGATCACAGGCGGAGAGTTCAGAAGCAAATCAAAGCAAGTTCCAATGGTGAGCAAAGCCAGCAAGAAAAACATCAAATTGACATGAATAAGGATTCACTGAAACGGAACAGGGACCATTGAATTGGCTAAAAGTTACACAAATCAGAGAGATCCACAAAATCGGAAGTTAGGAAAAGAACAGCAATGGAACTTCGTCTAGTTCTCTATGATCAGAAAAAACAAGCAGCACCTGATCTGATACCAACACGTAAATTTCTCGCACTAATAAAGGAAATTCAATAATAATATTCAGAATCAAATTCCAGAAACTGCATCAAATAGAGAAGAAGAAGAAGATACACAATCTGACCTCTGTTGCTACGTTGGATCCAAGCAAAGCCATTGCAGGATTCATTCATAGAGAATTAAAACGGATGTTTGCAGTTTGATTGCCACCGCTGCTGTTTGGGAACTTTTTCTCGAGAAAATCGTTTGTTCGTTAATGATGGTGGCTAATGGAACGAAACGGGGGCGTTTAGCTGCATCTGACTTCTTTGCACCGGGTCGTTTGGTAATTGGAATAATTTTGTAGGAGGTACTTTATCCTTGGAATGGTTGAGATAGTCTTATGATTAGTAGTCCTCCTTTTTCTTTTTTTTTTTCTTTTTTTGCCAACTATGATTAGTAATCTTTAAATTCGGTAATTTTGTATTACCTCCCTTCCTTTTAAATTATACTTTTGATTTTTCAGCTGAAGTTTATTTGATATTTTTATACACATACAAATGATAATTAAATTTCCATACATAATTCCTACTGAAGAGTTTTGTTTGACAAAGAAATTTTAAGATTTATATATATACTATGGAATAAATACTATTTAAAATTACAAAAAATAAAATAAAATGACAATTAAAAATAAATAGAGACAATATAATTATTGTAAGTTGAGTATTGATGGAAAACCAGTGACACTCAAATAGCTATTTAAGGTGATATTCGAGCTTCGGTTGATTTAGTTTTGTAACTGTTGGTAATTGCAAGTGGATATTCAACTGTTGATACTTATTTAAACTCAAATATTATCAATTATAAGATAATAAATATTAATATAAGAAAAAATTATTGTACAATTCAAATTGCAACATAAAGAATCTTAACTAAAATTTGTTCAAAACAAGTAAATAAAATAAAACCTATCAATTTTTTAATCTATTTTTTTATATAAAGAGACCAAGAATTGAATCCTAAATTTATGATTAAAAATATAAGTAGCTTTACTACATAACTAATGGTTTTTCTTAATCTATTATAAAACATGACAATTAAAAATGAATAATAGCTACTAATAACCTAAATAATTTAATAGTAATCTTTTTCTAGTAAAAATAAAAGATTTTAAATTTGAATTATATGATATATGTCACGCCTCAACCCAAAGGTTTAGGCATAACAAACGCTACACATCTATAGGTTAACCCCATAAATATGTAAGGCCGTTTTCCTTGACTAACAATACAATCTCCCTTGCAATTTTAAAATAAACAATTCCATTAACAAATCTTAATAATTTCCAAATAACAATTTCAAATTCCTTAATTAAAACCTAAAGTGTTTAACATCTTATTCCATAAGCCAAATAAGCTTCCAATTGAGCTATTGTTAAATTCTGCCAATTTATTCTAACGATCTTTCAATCCCTATGCAAAATCCAATGCTCATACTTCTTCTTCACCTGAAATGAGATAAAATTTGAAAAACGTGAGTTTAAAAACTCCGTCATCATAACCAAGCATAAGAATTTAAAATTGAATTTTTATTGAGAATGAAATGATAAAAACAATTCACAATTCTTTCCTCGAAGCCAGAATATTTTATTTTTCATCCCTTATGGCTATGTAACAATCCACAATCCACGATCAATGATACTCAATTATCAATCCACAATACATGATCCAGAATTCATAATACACGATCTACAATCCACAATCCACAACCCACAATTCACAATCTATAGATCCTGGGTCTATTATAATACTAATGACTCAATCCTTACAAGGGTGAATCATATAGCGAGGACAAATAAAAGAAACCGTTCCAAAAATAACCATTTCAATAATATTGGATAAAAACAAATTAAAATTAACCACCTCCTCATGGCCACAATATCATCTCATACTTAAGTAAAAATATTATGCTTGATCCACAAATCATCTCATTTCATCATTAAAAACATTTTAGTAAAAATCATTCTCTAAGAAATAAATAAATAAATAATAAATAAACAAATAGATAAATAAATCAAAATTAGACAAAACCCATTTAAATCCATCAATTTACTTTAAAAACATTGGAGGGTATAGCTACGTATCTCAATAACTATCTTTCAATTGCAATTACCGCACACCTATTCGAAACCTAAACAAACATCAAAATATACACAATTCAATCACTAGGTAAAATTTTATCCTGTACTTATCAGGTACCTACTGAAATAATTCTATAACCCTTGCCACTGATATACTTTCTTTAAACCTAACTATTTCAACACACACTATTAGAAATTAACCACCTTAATAAATA